GTGGCGAATTCCTCGGTCAGCTGGTAACTCAGCTGGGATCTTATCCGGAAAGACATCTTCATTTTCGCGGGCGGACTCGTAGATTGGGTTGCCGGATTCGCGTAGCGCTTCCCAAGTTTGCGCTGCGAAGCGCTCCTCGCGGGTCGACTTCGGTTCGGCGCTCTTTGTTCCCGAGGGAGCGTCGTCGTCACTGACTGCATTCACCTCGCGTGACGCCAACTCGGCGTCGGTGATCAGGCAGACATGTTCGATTTCATCGTCTTTGAGGCCGCGAAGGAAGTTCTTCCAGGAGAGACCCGGAAGTCGAGTGATTGACTGCGCCTCTTGAGGTGGGTTTGCAAGCTCGAGCGTTCGTCGGCGACCGGAGGTACCTTCCATATACTCAAGCACGTAGACCGACTCCGTCAGTGAGCTGTCATTTGGTACGGGCTCTCGGCGAGGTTTCAGCCGACGCCGCTTCGACTTCTTCTTTTGCCGCCTCGAGTGCAAACTCGAGGATGAGTTGCTCTCGCTGGATGAGATCCCCCCTTCTAGCGGGAGCGCCACCTGATCGACCACCGGCTCAATTGACGGGAGCCCTGCTTGACCGCCATCTCGTTCGTCTGCGGGAGCCCCTGCTCGACCGCCAGCTGGTCTTCATTTCCGCTTCGCCGCGAGTATTCATCATTTAACAGCACTGCGCAGGCCGTGCAGAAAGGGCCATCGCTCACTCTGTGCACAACGTGCGTCGTGGATGACCGGACCACGACGGTGACGTGAGGCCAATCCTTCTGGGCGACCAGGAGGTGCGTGAACACCTCGCTCACATCATAGTCACTGCGACGCTCGACAGACCGGGCCAACCAGTCAATCTCTGCTTAATAGCGCGAAAACCACGGCACACCCAGGATGCAGTCAAACGCGTAATTCGTCTCAATGACGTCGTTGCTTCGGAATTCGCCGAACGTGTACGGAAGTGTAATCTCGCGCGGCGTGATTTAACATTGGTAAACTTGACAGCGACCTCCCCTCTACCTTTACGGACAGCGATGTCCTATGAGAGTACCGACAAGCACGACGCACGGAATAAGTTGTAGACGAGTGTGCCACGTGCGAGACGTCAGGCGTCAACCTGACAAGCGTCTCCCCGGTAATACCACTTCGCGACGAAATCCGAGCTGCTTACGAGCATGACTCGACGTATTCCAGTATCCTGGAGCATCTTCGCTCTCCCAGTGCCGACACACTGGGAACTCTTTCTCGCTCTATACGAAACCATATTCACCGGTATCGTCTTGAGGATGAGCTGCTGACGTACAGCATCAACAACTTCGATGCCCCACATGTCGTTGTCCCTAACGACCCCGATCTGCGCTCACGGATTATCTCATGATGCCCCGCTTGGCGCTCATCTCGGTCGCGAGAAGACGTTTGCCGATGTATCACGCGACTTTTATTGGACCATCTGTATAAATGGGTACGTAAGTGGGTGCGCACCTACGAGATCTGCCAGCGCGTGAAACCTACTTCGTCGTCGCAGGCTCCGCTGCGTCCTCTACCAGTGGCCACCGAGGCCTGGCGCTCGGTGTCGATGGATTTCATCTTCGAGCTCCCACCCGATGCTAAAGGACGTTCAGGTGTCTTGGTGTTCGTTGACCGCTTCAGCAAGATGGTCCACCTGATTCCGTTGTCGGATTCGATCACCGCGGCAGATACCGCGGTGCACCTCATCGATGCGGTCTTTCGCCATCATGACCTTCCTGAATCCATCGTCTCCGACCGCGACCCGCGCTTCCCGTCGGCCTTCTGGTTAAAGCTCTTCGAGCTACTCGGCTCGAAGCTGTTGATGTCCACGGCAGCCCATCCAGAAACGGACGGCCAGACGGAGCGCGTAAATCGCGTCGTCGAAGACGTCTTTCGAAGCTACGCGACGTCGTTCTCCAGCTGGAGCTCGTTTCTGCCTCTGGTCGAGTTCGCGCTGAACAACGCGGTACACGCGTCGCCTGACCTGACGCCCTTGTTCATCAACAACGCGCGAGACCCGCGTGCCCCTGCTCTCCTCGCCGTGGGCCATTCTACAGCACCGTGTGTCTCCACGCTGGGTGGGGAAGAAGCTGCCGACAAGCCGTCTACTCCACCTCCGATGTCTCCGGCGGCAACACCGGTACTGGGTCAACCGGTACATACACCGGATGCGAATGAAATCTCGAGTGTATCCCCGGTCCCCACGTCGGTCAACGCAGTGACACATTCCGCGGCATTCTCTCTCGCAGCTTGGACTAACCGTAACCTGATCAACCCCGGAACTACTTCGAGCGCACTTGCGTCAGCAAACTACGCGACGAAGCGAGCGACGCGACCAATCAACTCCGCAGCCATCTCCGACTTCGTATTACAACGCCAAGCGGTCACACGCTATGCTCGAGACGCACTGCGGGACGCAGCGGACAAGCCGAAGGAGAATGCTGACAAGACTGGCCGCAAGAACACGGCCACATTTACGACAGGTGAACGAGTGCTCCTGTCAACTGATGGTATCAGAAACTCAGCGGTCACCAACCTCGGCACGAACAAATTCGCACTGCGCTTTATTGGATCGCTTACGGTACCCAAGGCTATTGGTGACGCCTATGCGCTCGACATTTCTTCGACACTACGGCTACATCCGACGTTCTACGTCGGACGTTTAAAGAAGTACCATCCGTCCGAGATCCCGGACGCAGATTTGACCTTAAGCTACGCGGCAACTTTCCAGCAAGATGGCCCTCCTCCTTTGATAGATTCTTCTGGCACTCAGCGCTGGATCGTTGAGCGAATCGTTGACCATGACCTTCGCCAGCGCCATGGTACCCGCGACGGTCACACTGAAGAGTTTCCACAGGGTCGTGCCCTGCGGGACAAGGAGCAACACTATCGCGTGCGTTGGCTGGGACTCTCCCCAGGTGAAGACACTTGGGAGCCGCGCAGTCGCTTGCTGGAAGACGTTCCCGATATCGTAAGCGAATACGCGAAGACAATCACGCTCCAAATCGTGAGTGAGCCGGGTGTTGATACCCGCAGTGAAGAAGCCGACCAGCCTCCGCGGGTACACGGAGGCGCTCGCCATGATAGTTAAAAAGAACACTAGAGTCAACACGGGGATAGAACCGGTGACCAGCTGCACGAGAGCTCGGCACTGTACCGCTGAACCACTCGGTGAGTAAGCCGAGTGAACAAGTGAGTGAGTAGTGTTGAGGAAGCTCGCAACAAGACGACTGCGTCTTAGGTTTTAGGAAAAATCAGCTCCGCCTTTTTTTAGGACCAAGGCTTCAGCCCTGGCCACTCAAATACACGTCATAGTTCAATTGGCCAATAATGGGTCTGGCTCCCCATATATCAGCCAGGGACATGACAGCATTTCAGTACACGTTAGTCGTGCGCTGATGCACCTACTTATGTAAAGAATTCTACCTACTTATGTTATGGAGGGCCCATTACATTACCCCCCTCTTCAAGTTGCACGTACGCAGCATAAGCGCTGATAAAGAATATTGAAAAAGACTGCTGGGATGGCGGAGACAGTAGCGGCGACACTCGCGACATCAAGTCACTGGCGTATCAACAAGAGACACCACGCTCGGCAGCGAGCGTGCGGAGCGAGATGTCAGCTCAGACAACAGCTTGGAGGCCACCGGCGCTGGCGCTGGTGTCGACACACGTGGGCATCGAGGTGCCAGGCCAGGCGGGACTAGGTTCTGGTGGAGTGGAGCTTGGACCCTCGCAAATGTCCCGAGGCACATCGTGAACTATGCGACGTCGTGTCAGAACGGGTAACGATCACGCGCAGTACGCGTGAGTTCGATTCCCGCGGAGATCAAACTCCGCGACAAGCGCATGTGCAACTGTTTTTGCTAGGAAATTCTGGCACGATGATCACCACAGACGCAAAGATGGAGAACCGGCTGGAGACCTCCTTGTGCTTGGGGATACACCCATCATGGGACATCCACGATGTTCCAGCAGGCACGAGGATCACGAAGACAGCGCACCAAAAAGGTACTTGAGACCGCGAATACGGGACAACAACCACTTCAGTCAGCTGACTGAGCGACGATGTGCGACTGCACAGAGTACGGAGAAGTATCCTGTAGACCCAGGCGACTACGACGTAGGAATACCAGCGTCCTGCGAGCTTGGGTTTCACTCGTCGTCGTGGAACCTCGCGTCACCCACTCACTCACTCATAGTGTAAGCAAGTAACGGAGTAAATATCTGGCCCGTTACGTTTGCCCATAACACTATGATTTATAGTATTCGATTTTGAGAACTTTCGAGTCCCTCTTTTAGCCCAGTTAGGTCTGTCGTCGGACGGAATAAATAATCAAAAGTTTGCTGCACTCTTGCGACAACGACGCTGGGAACAACACGCTTTTGTGGCCATGGAGGCAAATATGCTCCTTTATCTATCCTAAGAACGTCTAACCTGGTGTACTACTACGTCCTCAAGGACATAGTGGCCTTTTCAAAAGTGTCTCTAATAACATAATACTATTTTTTGTCGTATTAGCTAGCACAGTATCCATTGAGCTCACTTTCGTAAATGCGAGCAGTAGTTGCTCTGATATACAGGTCATCAAGCAATTTCAGCCCCGAGAATCCTCCCTTTCAAATCTTAAGTTGTACCTAGGACAAATGACGTTATGTGTGCCACATAATCACTGATTTTTGCCTAGGACAAATTTCACTGGGGTTATTAAGGACCACCGACCAATTTTCCACAGTTAAAATTGCCTCAGTTTTGCTGATACGAGTTGAATATTCCAGCTACCTAGTCGAAAGATTTGTTTTTAGCAAAACTTAGTTTTTGTCAGTGCAGTACAAATAATTATATAATTATTTATGCTGTAAGACTTTCATCGGCCACAAAACAAGTTGTTTTAAATATTTTTGGGAGAAGCCCAATTTTCTTCAATTAATTACCCATTTCCTCCAATCACTTTCCATCAATGCATCCCCACTTGCTTTTATTAACTGAGAACAAGATGCCGTCGGTCAAGCGCAAGCGCGAGCCCAAGTCCTCTGGAGACTCACGGCTGGCTGACCCATATCTGCTGCAGACGCCCCCTTGCCGCTTCTCGGACCATCACCGCAAGCGCGGCAAGAATGCGGGCGTGTTGCGCAACTGTGTGGACAACCCAAACTGCCTCTACGGCCTGGGGGAGAGCCAGAAGGGCGTGTGGCAGGGCTCGAGACTCGTCCGACGCGTGTTCGGCGACGACCCGCGGGAGCGCGAGCGTGAGTCGAATAAACATGGGAAGCCTATGCCTTGTGGCTTGCGTAATCTCGGCGCTACGTGCTACCTGAACAGCATGCTGCAGTGTCTGTTCGTCAACTTACCCTTCCGCCAAGCCGTGTACGAATGGGAGCCCAAGGGGCAACTTGTGGATAAGGAACAGGCGCAGCAGATGCGCGCGTTGCAGAAACTCTTCGCCCAGATGCAATTGGGTAATGAAAGCTACTATGATCCAACGGAATTTGCCTCCACATTGTCACTCAACAACGTCATGCAACAAGATGCACAGGTTGGAATACCTTTTACTAGTGGTTTACTATTTTTACGAACGAATTGTTTTTTTTTTATGTTGCAGGAGTTTAGCAAGTTGCTGTTGGCACATTTACGTACGATCTTTGGACACTCGAGATTTTCGAGACATTGGGACTTGGTGGACCGAATCTTCCAGGGACAGATGAGTTATGTGACCAAGTGTTTGAAGTGCAAGAACAAGTCTATGCGACCGTCGTCGTATTACGAGATTTCGCTGAACATCAAAGGACACAAGAGCGTGGAGGAGTGCATTGGATCGTACTTGTCGGCGGAGGTGCTGGAAGGAGAGAACAAATATTTTTGCGAGCACTGTGACGCCAAGCAGTGTGCAGAACGCTACCTTGAACTCAAGCCGCAGTCTTTGCCGTCAACGCTGATGGTGCAGCTAATGAGATTTGTCTACGATGCCAATGCCGGACGCAAGAAGAAGCTGACGGTACGCTATGGATCGCCATGAAGGCTTTTATTAAGGGTATTAAAATTCTACAATTTTATGTTGATACTTGCAGGACGTCATCGAGATTAACGAGACGCTAAATATGACCGAGTTACTGCGCCGGAGTGGCCATGCTGAGGCATTTGATGGGTCTGGCGATGCGGTTTACCGGTTACAGGGTTATCTGAATCATCGTGGCAAAAGTGCCCACGTGGGGCACTACACTGCGTCTGTAGCATACCCCAAACCAGGGAAAAGGAGTGGGCAACAAGACGACGAATCTGCAGTGGACTGGTTTGAATTTGACGATGCAGCGGTGACTGATATGACCAAGTCTGACGCAGCAAAAGAGCGCTCTCCCGGTAAGAAAATCCGCTCACGTGACATCTACATGCTTCTATATACTCGAGATGGTGCTGCTGCCATCACCAATACCAGTAACGCGGAACCAGAGCCTTCTACAGTCTGTCGAAGCGAAGTGGAGGCAGTCAATGTTGCGTTTAATGCCGAAGTTAAAGAGTACGCCAGAAAAGTGAGTGGAATGGAAGCTCGTATCCAGAAGCGAGTTGACGCGTACAAGCGCTTTTTCGAGAAGAGTCAGCCGTATCCAGACACGTCTGCTGCCCATTTCTACTGGGTTGACACGGAGTGGCTGCGTCGCTGGATTACAGGAGAGGAAAGTGATAGCTCCGCCAGAAAAACTACGAGCTCATCGCAAGTAGAAGAGGAGGAATCGAAGGAAGCCACGCCCAACGCAGCGGAACAGAACGCAGATGATGATTGTATCATTGTTGACCCACCAGAAGCTAACACCGTGGCAGAAAGTGAATGCTCGGGTGACGAGAAGTTGAGCTCAACTAATTGCGAAAATGGAGATGTGGAGATTGTTTCCGACACGGCTCCATCGGCGTCGCCGCTGGCCTCTCCGGATACAAATGACGAGCCTGACGCAGTCGGGACTACGAAGTTAAACTGTGAAGACATACCTTTTACGAAGCCTTTTGATGTATCACGCTTCTGCTGCGCGCACTCGAGTGGTCTGGACAATGGAGCACACGAGCCAATTCTACGCTTTGCACCCGAGAATGCGCCTAGGATGAAGCGAGTATCTGCAAAATTGCTTACGTATTTACGAGAGAATTGTGGGGAAGAACGCAACGTGGAGGATTCGACGCCAATGAGAGCCTTCGAGTCACCCACGTATCGCTGCGCAGCGTGCGAGAAAGAATTCCGCAACAAGCTTTTGAATGACGTGGATCGATTGAAAGAAGTGAGCGAGGAACTTGAGCTGTTGAGAGGCTCTCCTGCTAGTGTGGCGGCGGCCGTGGCGTCAGGAGGGGCTTACCTGATGAGTCGGGCGTGGATAAAAAGCTACAAGATGCATCTGCAGATGCTGCACAAAGAGCTGTCGCACGCAGCTTTGAAAAGCAAGAAAGGGAGGAGATCTCTGACGCCCCAGGACATCAAAGAGTTTTTTACAGCTTCAAAGGAAGGGAACGGAAGCAGCAGTAATGATACTGGGGATAATGGACTGGGTGTGTGGCAGAAGCCCATCAACGAGGACATCACGTGTGTGCATGGCAATCTAACGCTAGAGAAGCGGACGTATCGACCTGTGTCGGCAGAGACATGGTCGTATTTTAGTGCCAAGTTCCCTTATCGTGCCGAGTTCGCCGAGTCTGCAACCGAGACGTGTCCACAATGTCAAGTTGATGATATGGCGAGCAAGGAGTGTATTCAGGTGGAACGTGACGCGCGCGACGAGCTCCTTTCTGTCTCTGCACTAGACTGTTTGTATCGACGAAAGCCTCGAGGAGAATCCATTCGACTTGTTGACGTTTTTGAACTTTCAACTGCACAAGGTGGCAGTGGACTGGAGCAGGCGTCGTCGTGGACTAAACGAGACGCTGCGAGAACTCCTCGACGAATGTTTTTGGTATCTCGTCTCTGGCTAGCGCAGTGGAGGGAGTATATTCGCAACGTGGAAGAAGATTCGCCAGCTTCTTTAACACTGTCTTCGCTGCTGTGTTCGCACCAGAAATTGGTGCTTCCGCCTGGATTATTGGCAGCACATCAGGGTCAAGTTGTGGACGCCAGTTCGTTAGAAGTGGAGCTTGTGACGATGGACGAAATACAGGCGCTTGCTGAACGTTACGGCGATCTGGAGATGTCATTTTACTATGGTCTTCTCAAAACTAATATCACCGATTCGGAAGAAGAGGAATCTTACGTGGTGTGGCGACAGTGCTCACAAGCTTCTCTCCAGTATGGCAACGAGAAGGTTATAAGCAGTGAAGGGTGTCCCGATGGTGTCGTGCCGTTGGTATGTCAAGACGAGAACGAGGAGGGTGTTATCTGTGCCGAATGTCAAGAAAACTCGGACAGAAGACACCAAGACGAGCTCGAGAATTTCTCGAACCGCGTGGTGAACGTTCAGCAACTGAGCGACGACCAGGCAGCTCCCACGACCGAGAACTTGACGTCAGACGCTAACACGTCAGGTCGACGGCGGTCTAGGCGATTTCGTCCAGGTGCAGCGTGTACGTGGCCTGTGGCAGCTAATGCTACCGACTCAGTATATATGCTCAAGGCCAAGATCTACTCGGAGATGGATGCATTGCCCATACGACAGCGTCTTTACTACAAGGGCGAGCTACTGGAGGATTATCGGACACTCAAACACTGCGGGTACGTTAAGTGGCAGGTGTATTCGTTGCTGAAGTAGAAAACCTCTGACAGTTGGTAAATAATGTGTTGTGGTATCAGGATCAAAGCCGGAGACGCAGTATTCATGAGGTTATCAGAAGACAGTGCGGACGACCTGGTGATGGACGAGAGTCTGGAGCGTGAAGTGGGGTTTGCAGACTCGGTCTTTCTCTCCCGTACGTTGAATGGCAGCGCTACCGGTAACACTCAGGTGGAGGTGGTGAAAGTCAAAGAAGTCCCAGACACGAGTGGAGACCGAGCGATGGCGTTGGCGATGGCCGGTAGCCAAGAAACTCGCGTTTGGGTATGCTCTGCCTGCACGTTCGTCAACGATGCCACGGACGCTATCTGCGAGATCTGTTCGACGACGAAAGATTAGCGTCCGTGACAAGATAAATCTCTATGCTCACATAAGAACTCCTGTAGTGGATAAATTAATCAAGTATTCTTAAGTAGGAGTACGCTAACTTTTTCTTTTTCGGTTATCGTAACGTGGAGGTTCTACTACAGTTTGAAGAGCACCACTGGTTCCGACAAACAAAATATTGGCAGCAAGATGGTGACCCACAACGATGATGAGCTGGAGATGAACTGGACGGCGGAGGCCGTAGACGCATCGGACAATGAGAGCGTCATGTCCGCTGATAGTGAAGATGAGTTCGAAGACGAGGCGGGGTTGGAACTGGCGTCCGGCGTCAAACGTGGCCGCGAGGAGGAGGTGGACGACGCCATGAATAGTGAGGACGATGCAAATGCCACCAAGAAGCGTAAGACCGACGGCAAAGTACGCGCTGCAGCTGTTAAATAACTATAAGCACGTGAGACTTTGCAACTGACATGAGCTAACGCAGCAGAAGCACAATGGCAAGGGACTGCACAGGATGACGCAGGCCGATCACTTTAAAATCGTCAACGATGCCTACACGAAGCACCGTGGCGGCCAAATGACGTCGCTCGAGCTGGCGGACGGACTTAATGGTGCGTAGCCTACGTGCTCAAAACGAACTTAAATGCGTGCTGAACGGTATGAATGTCTCGCAGAGGCGCACTTTGTGGCACCCAAAGGTCTGGGCAAGCACAGACTGGACCTGTTGCCGTCGTACATTCACCACTTGCAGCCATCGTTCAAGCGCGACTTTGTGGGCAAGGGAAAACGTCGCGATAAGAGTCCGTACTTCCTCATTCTGTGCTCGTCGGCGCTGCGGTGTGTTGAGGTCATCAAGTAAGTTTCTCTGCATGACAGCAAGTTAGCGTATGGATTTCTAACGGCCTCTTGTTGACATTCGTGATAGGCATTTAACGTCGTTTAAGTGTCGTGTTGCAAAACTTTTCGCCAAGCACATGAAGGCGGAAGAACAGGCCAAGCAGCTCGCGTTCAACTATCTGCCCATTGCTGTGGGTACACCTGCTCGCGTCAAGAGGCTGCTGGAGATGGACGCACTGTCGCTGAAACACACGACGCACGTGATCTTCGACATGGAGAAGGACAAGAAGCAGCTCACTGTGCTGGAGCTGAAAGACACAGCAACTGAGATGATGGACCTTCTGCAATTTCATTTCATTCCGCAACTTAACAAGGAAGCCAGCAGCATGAAGATTGTGCTGTTTTAGATACACCAGAATCTGCTCCAGATCCTTTTTTTTAGATTTCTAGCCTCAACGAAAAGAAAACTTTAAACTTCGATGTCAAGATCTAGTGATTTAGAATAATTGATTTAGAAAGCTCATAGTTTTCTCGAAGGCAACGAAGGTGACTGCGTTTGCAGGGAAAGCTCGTAGCAGTGACGGTGTGATGCCTTTGTAAAACCGCGTGGGTCCTCCCTCCGCATAAAGTTGTCGACAGCAGTCCGTTATGCCGTTGAAGCGAGGTTTATCCAGACGATCGGCCTGAAGGACCGATTTCACCGTGTCTACGGGAAACACCACGAGCCAATACATGAAGCCAGCGCAGCCGCCAGAGAAGGCGATGGACTGATACGTGCGCAGATTCGCCGCTTCTGGTGACAATCCAGGCACGTTGTGCACAAAACGATTGAGCAGTAAATCCTTGGTCGTCTCGTACGCCATAAAGTACGCGGCGTTACCCAACATCTCACGTCCAGCAGTAGGCCAGAAACCACGATAGAGTCCTCCTACGCCATTTCGACTATACACGTCCCTAACACACTGCCAGTTGCTGATTCGAGTTTTGGTGCCTCCATACAACGTCTGCATCCTTACTTTAATAATTTCAAATGGAGTATACAGCATTCCCTCAGTAAAACCCGTCGAAACTCCAGCAGCTATCAAAGCATAGTCCGGGTTGTCGAACAGCGTCTTGGAGTAGAAATAGCGATACTGCCCCATAAGCCCAAACATGATCGACGCGCTACATCGTCGGCCGAACGAACAGATATGAAAAAGATCCACGTTAATTGCATTGGTAGTAGCCACGAAGAAGGCATTTTCGAGATACCCCAGTACCTCATTGCGGAGCGGAAGATCTGAGGCGATGCACCGCGATAGAGCGACGAGACGCCACCTTCCTGCAAAGTCTTCTTCAGACAGTCAACAGGCCCTGTGAACGCTCTGGAATTGTTCTGCTGTGTCTGCATCCGCGCCTTGACCGTCTCGAGGGGATACCCCACGAACGCCTCACAACCGCCGCCCATGGTGCCGCTCACAAAATTCTTTACGGTGACGATAGCAAGTGACGGCGCTGTAGCAGCTGCGGAGGTCCCCGAAGGAGGGTCATTCGAATGCGTATCCGCCGATAGCTCGCCGGAAGCGAGCTCCGAGGATTCACACCTGGCCTCCCTTCTCAGCATCCTGGCGAACCTGGCTCAAAAAGATGAAGGCACTCGTTATTTTGAGGTAACATAGCATCGACTTTTATACGTGTACAGATAGTATAGTTCGGTTACATTGGAGTAAAGGTAGGACACTAGCGCGTTTGCACTCGTCCGCGGACTTATAGCCGTCCCGCCCCTCTCTTCGCTTGCTGCGCTGCGCTCGGGGGGGGGGGGGGGGGGGGGCCCCTGCGGGGTCCCCCCTCACCCCGGCCTTTAAGTCCTCGACTCGGCAAGGCGCTGTGTCTGGGATTAGAAATTAATTCCGAGCCAGTGTTGCCAAGACCGTCGGCTAAGTCCATTTTATGCATGTTGGGGAGTATAATTGTACATGTATAGTCGGTTAGCCAGTCGGGCAAAATACTCACTTCCAAAGGGATCCAGACTAAAATTAATATTAATACCATGGTAGGTACACTCTATAATACTTCGTATAAGTACTAAGTAAAAAAGTTTTGAAAGTGAATAAAGTCACAAGGTTTGACTGTCGGCCTGCACTTTCATTTCAGAATTGGCGCCAAAATAGCAAACTCCGAGCTTTTCGGTATGGACGTCTTTCCGACAGACACAAAAGCAAGATTGTGAATTTGGGATTAATATCCAATCATATATTACCATTTACCTTTTAGCCAATTAGATCGCACACGAGCAGGTTCTTCATTCCGACATTTTCTGACAAATATTTGTCGGAAGCTAGAGCTACATATTTAAAAGGACGACCTTCGCGTCCAGGTTTTCCAGATTTTGAAAATACTCAGATTTCTGATTCTCCATGTATTGTCCAGGGATACCCCCATGTTTCTTCCAGGTTTTAATATACAGAGTGGAATCAGACGCGCGTAATACATGGCGAAGGGTACCACGAACGGGTGGCCGCACGACTTCTTGTGCGTTATGGCATGCCTGCACGGAAGCTTCATGGTCTGGGAAAACTCGCAGTCACACGTCCAGCCTTCCTTCTCCAAAAGATATTCGTGGTATCCATGCCGTACAGTTATTGTTGCACCATTGTCTTTGAATGCGTAGCGTTCGGCAAGTGTTCTGTCTACCGAAATGTCGTACTGTATTTTAATTGCCGCAGCCACCCAACGTGTCGTCATTCCAAGGACGACGTGTATCTCTTCAGAGTAGGAAATATCTCGCAACGTCCCGGGCATCTCCACCTTCGACCGGTAACCTTCTTCCTTGCGGCGTTGAAACTCCAGCAAAATCGCCAGGCTAGCACGCATCGTATGATGTCCTTTCAGTTTGCGCTTCAGTTTTCCAAAGAGACTCTCAACTCGATTATTCGTGTGATTGCTGAAGTGTGGCAAGTCCACTCGATGCGCCATCACCCACATGGTAGCGTCGGCATCCCAGTTCGTTCGAAGTACGCCCACAGCTCTGTGCGACCATCCCTGAAGGCAAACCCTTGAACTCGTCGCGATGTAGACAGTAGTCCTCAGCTGTTCTTGCATAAGTCATGTTGGTGATAATGTGCTTCATCTGCAAGAGAACAGATTCTTCATAGGTGCCAAACTTCTTCGAGTTGCGAATCACATTATGGAGCCACTTTATCACATGGAAATAACACAAAAGAACTCGAGCCTCCGGCAGCTTCTTTCGAATCACATCGATTTGATTGCATGTCCTTATCGACAATGAAAATACGCACGAAACGCCAATGCTCGTTCGCTCGTTTAAAATGATCCAAGCTTTTCGCCATGTGCCAATCGGAGTTTGTCTCCATCAACGAGTACTGGACGGGATGACCTTGACCAAATTGATCCATTGCAACGATACTCAGAAGCTGGTAGTTGTATCTATACAGAAACCCTGTTAATATCTGGTAAAAACCTGAAATAAAAAGTGGAACATTTTTCACCAAATAATATGAAGAAACTCACTTGTTCGTCTTGTGTGTGCAGTCCATCTAGAGCACCTCTGGGAAGCTGTCCTGCATCGCACGCATGTGCTCACTCGACAACGATATCACTCCGGTGTCGCCGTGCGCACTTTCGTTCACCGTGGCCACATTAGCTGGTGACTCCTGGTTAAAGTCCAAGATCATCTCTGCAACAGCGTCATCATCATAAAGATCAACACCTAGATAGATACACAGTTCTTAGTTAGTCAGGACATTTCCCACCCAATAATACACTAGCATAACTTACCGGACTTCTTCATCCTGGCTATCAAGTTGCGAACATCATCCATGGTGACAGAGTGATTTGAGTTGCTGCGAATGTAGTCGTAAATACTCGAGGCTCCAGCTTGCGCATCCACAAGCAACTCAATCCCGGGCATAAGCGGTGAATCAGCAGGAACCTGGCGAATACCTGGATAATACCTGTAAACTCCCTCGGAGACGAAATGGTTATGAGAGTACACCTCACGCTTCATCTTGATGCACCATGTGCCAACGTCCTTCTTCGAAACCTGGGCCAGCATCTGGAACGGACACTCTGTGCGGCGCAGCGTGTGAGAAGTCCTCTTACCCGACGATCGTTCACGCTCCGGCCAGCCATGAGTGCAGATATATTTTCGCTGAAACGGTTCCATTTCTACGGGCACCAACGGGATCTCAGAATCAGGGCGACCATTGTAGCGTACTTGTGCACGGAGGTCAGCATTACGGCGCGAAACTCGGATCACCTCTTTGATCACAATCTTCTGGCGCGTCGAATCCATGTACTGCTTCAAACTCACTTCGAGGTCCGCCCAGGATTCGTGCTCCGCCTTGAACGGAGGGGGGGGGGGCTTGACCAGCTCTTCGTCTTCTACCATGGAAGCCGACCTCTTTTTGCCTTGCCGGTTCGCACCGGTCTGCCGCATTTTGTCTGTCTGCATAGTATTCTCCTCCCGGTTTTCTTGGTCCGTTGCCTGGCTTTCTTCACCCTCCTCCTCCTCCGCCGGCCCCTCCTTCGAATCTCTTGACGCTTCAGAAACACATTCTTTGGCACCTTGGTACCTCCGCCAGAGCGTCCGCTGAATCACCATCCATTCCCTCGCTGGCACTATCTTCTTCGTCGACTACAGCGTGAGGGCCAAACTGGCCACGAATCTCATCAGCACGCTGGCGTGCTTGGGATCTCGCCGCGCGGATACGAGCGTCCATTACTCCGGCGAGCCGGGCTGCCTCCATTCTGCGAGCCTCCTCCTCCTTGCGTGCCTCTTCCGCCATCTGCGCCTTGATCATCGCTGTCTTGTGCGTTCGCGCCATGGTGGGGTCTTCCGAGGGCGCTTCGGTGTCCTCCGGGTGCGCTGCCAGCCGTCCGCCACGTGTCACGCTTCCCCCCTGGAACTGAGTGGCTGAGGCCAAAAGAAAAATTACGGTAAGAAAAACGGTTTTAGTTACACCTGGACGCACACCTGGAAATTCTCTGTTTGGAAAAACCTGGACGCGAAGGGTGCCGTATTTAAAAACAAAAACTGAATTTAAGTCGTGTCAATATTGTTTTGGTTCCGACCTCCTACTTTAAATTAACATTGAACAGTAGTGTAACGGGTACACTTAACCAGTCATGTCCAGTAAAAAAAAGCAGAAGAGACAAGCAGCAACCGGCATGAGCCTCTCCGCACTTATCCCTACAAACACGCAAAAAGAGCGTACTACCTGAATAGGCGCGTTGGAGCGTATGGTGAAAGTCGAGGATGTATCCATGGACGTTGCCCGAGCATGCATTTTCAGTGACAGCTCCGGAACGAGCTTAGCGGCGGTGATGAATCGTTTTGGCTACTATCTCACCACATGCGAAGGTAAGAAAGGTAAGTTGGCGCCCAACACCGCCATTTCTTACTTTAAAATGTGAAACTTTGGTTTTTTTATGAGTATCCTCATCTTAGAGTACCAACCGACTTAATATTGCTTAAACAAGGGAAGACTCCAGAAAACAAAACTGTCTAAAATGTGATGACGGAGGGTTTACTAACAAGGCACCAACTTGTACAAAGGCGGATTTGCGCTCACTAGTTTGCTATGTGTACAAAACAGCATCCGTCGCCTCGGCTACGAAATGCGAATATGCAGCGCTTGTGTGCCTCATGTGGTATTGCTTCGGCCGTTCATCGGATCTCGGCTACGTCACAAAGCACCACATCACAATGTCAGCTGACAACGTTTTCTACATTCGGATGCTACGAATGAAGACAGCTGAGGAGCAAAGCATCACACTCGTACCTGATCGGGCGGATTTTGTGACCTTCCCGCTGCACCCGCTCGCAGTAGCCTTGGTGATGCAGGAGTCGCCTTGTGTATCCCTGCTAAACCAGCTTCCTTCACTTGTGACACCGTCCCTGCCCTCACTTGATGCAGGAGCACCCCTTCTCGATGTACTACAAGTACCTTCGGTCAATGCTGCCACCTCTTCGCAGCTTCCTGCAGCAGAATTGACTGACCTAGCTGCCGCCACCCAGCCAAGCGTCCCGATCTCCACTGCAGCCAACCCTTCAGCGACCAACCAAGCTCGCGGCGACGACGGGGTTTAAGTATACGTGAACCGGCTCCTGAAGCGGGTGTCAGAGCCTGCAGGAGCCTCAGCCAACTTGACCTCGCACTCCTTCAAGCGGGGCGGGGAGATGCATGCAAACGGGGACGAGCGACAGGATCTTTGATCGTGGGTCATGGGACACGACGCACACCAACAAAGGCTTCGCCTACGCATTTAACACGCCACGCGAGAACCGTAAAGTAGCACGGGGCTTGAGCGGGTGGGCTGCTGACGAGGCACCGACGATTCTTGATGTTGCCATTCTCGACCATGGGGCACAGGAGCGCATGACACGATTGCATGAGTTGCTGTTCGCTTCCTGTGTAGGGCTGAAGAACAGCGAGCTAAACGTGCGTCGCAAAGTAATTGGGACCCTTACCGCCAACCTGATTATGCATTTCCCGGAAGTGAAGACTCTGGAACCCAGGAGCTTGTTCGTTGTTCGGGTGAAAGAATGCTTGGAAGCAGCTGACATCTCCCACACCGACCTTCTGGCGTGGTAGGTCGCGC